ACGACACCACAGTACCTATTCATACAGGCTAGGAACGCAAGTACTGCAGCGATCATCCGTTCAAAGCTACCTTCGTGTGCTGCTTCAAGATAGCTTGGGTTGTTCCAATCAATCCGCAAAGGCATTGAAAACGTAACCACCACATCGGCTTGCTAGCACGAGCGTTCGGACAAATAGACACCTTATTTTCAGACAGATGCTCAATGCAAATGTCTGCCCCCATGTCGAGTACCCAATCCAAATCTGGCAGCTATGACTGAAGAATGACCTTACTGCACTGGTCCTACCTCAACGTCGGGCTTCCAAATATGTCATTCGAATGCGCCACCTTCCATACGAGCAGAGACTGAAACGATTGCGAGTATTCAGCGGGCGGTATGGCGGATTATGAGGCGACTGGATTATGACGTATTTGATTTTACACAATTCTAATTATGTTTGTTAATTTTTACTGCAACTCAACAGTAACACCAAGCTAAGAGGCCACTCCTTTTAATTAGCAGAAGAGTACAACCGTCTGGCATGTGTGTCAACCATGGAACTCTCTTCCCGAATCGGTGGTTTCTACACCCACGGTAGCCATATTTAAAATTCCGTTGCATGACGCAATCTGACACTCGCATTGTGTTACTTGACGCAAGTCTCCATCGGGCTCCCGGGAAATAACTTTGATTTATTTTTTCCACCTATTAAAGCGATGGAAACACTCGGAGTGCAGAATACAGCATTACATACAAAAAGTCCATCTGTTGACAATAGAACTACTAATCGCATCTTTTCTTCATTAACGTTTTTCGATAACTAATCAGACTACCTAACGAGGCTTGCAAATCAGTGCTTCTTAACCCGTATAAAATCATTGTTTATCATTGTTGATTTTTCACCTGTTGTGACTGGACTAGTAGTTTCAGTATCCTCAGCCCTTTGCCTGTGTAGTGAGGCGATGTGCATATCCGTCGCCAGAACAAAAAGCTTCACGGATGTGCCGCCATCTTTTCAGATTAGCATCATGGGATTCTTGATCGCTAGATGTCGGTGGTTCAGGCACGATGTGAAGAAAGGTGTTTCGTTTGCTACTCCCATGCGGTAATCGTTTGCATTACTTTTGTCCCGCTGGCAGTCGCTCCATGGAACATCCGGAAATATGCGTATCCCACTGTCTTCAGTCTGCATGCGGTATGTCGACAAAAGCACCTTTTTGACATCATCTGTGGATCACAACGTGATTCACATCGAGATTGGATGTCTAATAATAAGCATTAAATTAGTCAGCCTGATCTTAGCTCTGATTCTATCATCACGAAGGAAATTCCACTGTTTTAGTTCATCCTGCTGTTTACTCCTTAAATTCTTTGGCTTGGACACATGAATGTTGGTGCATATGGGTTTCAAGGCACCGTAGTTTCGCCTGGTCTTCGGTAATGTAGGAGGCACGGCTATCGGAGGTCTTGGTGACGTCGCTGTAGCTTACACCTGATTCGTGACCCATGTTGTGGCTGTACAGGGCAGCGTGTGCTGAGTCGGCCTACAGCAGGTAGCCGCACCTTCGGAGCTCAAGACCAGCTAAGTCAGTTAGTGTATGCCTTTAAATAGGTTAAATGAGGCACATTGTGGCATTTAGATGCATCTTACAACACCACGGATAAGGCGAATTAGCTTAGAGGATGATCATGGTACATGGACGGTGGATAAAATTGCTTGCGTCTGACTAAGACACAGTTCAGTTTCCCGGAGGTTATTAGATACAAATGAAACCTGCTAGGTCAACCAAAGCAATGAAAGCCTTTACCATGTTTCGGAATAGTGGTAGCTCGGATTGATGATTCATTTGTTCATTTGTTCTCCGACCTTAGACGTATTAGTAATAAGAACCATGGAAGGCGAGCTGCAAACATCGGTCTACAGAAAAGGCACACACACAGACCAAATTCTGAACTTTAACAGCAACCACCCGAAATGCCACAAAGTAAGCTGTGTGCGGACACCGTTTCGCAGAGTGCAAATACACTGCAGCACTGCAAAAACAAAACAAATCGAAGAAAATCACCCATTCAAATGTTTCCAACTCAACGGATAAACACGAAGGTTTATCCGAAGGTGTCTCTATCACAGCAACCTAACCACACAGCGTAGAACAACACAACAGCAGCAGCGGTGACAGTGGCAGCAGCAGCAACAACAACAGCAACAACAACAACAAAGGAGAGACGGGTTGTTCTGCCTTATACGAAGAACATATCGGAACTAACAACCAGATTATTCAAACACCATCATCTCATGGTAGCACCAAACTAACTGTCACGTTGAGAAAAACTCTTTCGAAACCAAAATAAAAACTGTAGGTGCATGTAAACGCAATGTGGTTTACAAACTACCTTGCCGAGATTGCAAAAGGGATTATGTTGGCCAGACCGGAAGAAAATTGGTAAAAGGGTACAAGAACCTAAGAGAGCCTGTGTAAAGCAATATGCATCGTCGCTAATTTCATTGCGCGCAGCTAAAGAAGGACATAGCTTTGATTGGAGCAAACGGAAGTCCTGGAACAGAAAACAAAAGAAATTCCTGGACGATTGGTTCTGAAAGAAACACTCAATCAACATGCGCGTCGACCTCAATACAATATGCCAACCACTTCGACAGAAACAAATAAAGACAATTTTGTCAAGCGGTTTAAGGCAGAACAACTCGGGCGCCGAATTCATTCATGGGGAAAGTGGATAGAGGTCACGGGATGCAAATCAAGACTGCCACTTTCAAAAATCCCCCGCAGGTCGATCACGGATGGACGATTCATTCAGTAAGATTGTACGTCGCATCTCACTGCACTGAGGATGCCACCTCTCATGGTGGTGAAATGTTTTCAATAAAACACCAAGCACGGAGAAAAAATGAACAAATGAAACATCAACGAAGGCCTGTGCAATATGAGTGTTGCTTGATAAATCATCAGGGAGTACCGTTTGTGGGTCTATTCTAGCTTGGAACTGGATATGGATTATCGTTTTATCAGGTGTTCACTGCCAGAAAGTTTCGAGTTCGCGTTTACTGACGCACTGGTTGGGCTTCTACCTCGCATGATGTCAAACATCACACGGGCAGCGAATCGTATTAACTACCTTCGTTAATCGGTGTTAAATTATTCCACTTGCAAGAAAGTCAACTAGCATAGTGATGTGTACCATACCCTTCGTTCTTTGGTCAACATGGAGGGTGGTGCTTGGCGTCCAGAATAAGAGTAGGGTCAGGTCTTCACGTCAATTCATGTGCTATTTTAGGAAAACCCGTAAGTATTCTATGTAATCAACCTGCAAGTATTTTATTCATTTTCACTTGTCTATATTGTGCACTCAGGGAACAAATTAATTGCTGCGTACGTTGTTCCACAAGGGTGAAAGCAAAGGTTTTGCAATAGCTTTGTTTGCCTCACTTAGTTAGACTGGAAAAATTTATACTGCTCTTTAATGATCAAACATCTATAGCCAGTGAATAGGTTGATCACAAGAGCTGCGCTTGCTCCATCGTGAACGAACTGCTACGATTTAGCCAGGGCATCTGCGTTAACGCTTCTGCTGAAATGGTTCAAACTGTAACACACTGAGACACAAATGACTTCATAACATTCGCGCCTGACGCACATCTCGATTTGATATGTATGATGAAGTTGGACAAATCGAATAGGCTCTTCGATACATACAACTTAATTGCTGGACTAAAAATGTTATAGTCGTTGCTAAGTCGGTTAGGTTGCTCGGTCTTCGTGACTGTTACGCTCCAGTGCTGGTCCTAACACTAAAGGTATTGCATGTATCGGGTAGTACGACTTTAAAATGTAGGTGTCAATCCAGCCACAATAAAAGACCGATAAAACGGGCACGTAACTTTGCACTGCATGTTACATTAGTATTTTCTATTGTCCTTTAAGCAGTGTGCTCCTTTCTCACTTTCCCATGGGTATTTGGTGCTTTGATGGAGTGTGGCCAGTCTCATTCTACCATCATAACATTCGGTTGCATGGTTAATGGTTCAATTCCTCCTAGTTTCCAATGGAACCTTGTGCGTAGTTCAGTGCTAGTTCTCTATAATCCCACTGAATATGCGAGCGTCTAGCGGCAACGAACTTCCACAACGTTAGTAAATGTATATCCCTTATCTCTTGTTATTGTGCTAGACCGAAGTACGGAGAAGAAGCCACAAATATCTGCTTATCACTACTGCGATGTGGCGGCGGTGACTCACCACAAACTGAAGTCACTACCCCGGGGACTTTCGGAAAATGTTGTCCAACCCACGGACTTAATTCATTTATTCTCACATTCCTGATGCTTACAAACCGTCAAAAATGCTGCGACACATTCACGGACACAAGCTACACAGCTACATTTATACACAATTACCTACATACGTATATACATCCATACACGCATTCAGCGTGATGCCAAAGTTGTATTTTTGGATATTTTTGATTACACTCTGTTAGCCTAACATGATCATAACTGTAAAGGTGTGCTTCGCATTGTCCAGAATATAAGTTTACTCATATATTTCGTTATAAAGCAGTCTATAAACATAGTCAACCAGTATAAAATTCTAGAAAAGCATTGAAGATTACTCCGTAGTTGCAAACTGAGTAGCAAATGAGGTTTTGTATCTCGTTTAAATGAGATTCATTGCAGGTTAAATCAGTCAGGTGGCCATGGAGAACGGGAATATTACTGTACTATGGATTCCTTAGTCCGGCAAAGAGCCTGAGCTCGTGAATCAATATGTTATGCGTAATGACTTATATTCCTGGCTTACGGTAGGCGCTCAGTCGTCCTTAGTGACCTGTTTTCCAATTAAGTTAATTTATATTCATGAGTAGAATGACAAACAGATAAAGTTACCTTCTGTTTTGATTGTGTGCTGCTCATTTCAACAAGCTACATGGCAATTTTAGAAGCCCCGTACCTCTAAGCACTTAGCAGAGAATATTTACTTCATGGTAAAATTTGTCTTTGTAGGTTTCGCAGGTCCGGACTGTGACACAGAAGATGCTTGTTATTACGAACCATGTGCTTCTCATGCCCAGTGCATAAATTTCCCCAACGGGACAGGTCGTACCTGCAAGTGCAACGGCCGTGAAGGTACGTGCTTTTGTTCCTGTTGTTCCCGAATGGTATACGGTAAAAACGACAAGAAGACTTTTTGGCTGACATTGGGCGCTGAACTTCATAGCCATTCATTTCAAATATGAAATGAGAGAGATTTTCACCCAATATAGTAAAAGCATTTCCTAATCATCTTCCGTGTGCATAAACCACTATAGAAACGGCAACGAAGTTAGTTGAAAACCCCAACCCAGGAATATGCTTTTCATGATTATTAGTTGTTCTGTGTATGTTTATGATACGCGTGACACCATACAGCTATGCCGAACCCGGTTCAGCCAAAGTTTAATATCAAGCAGCGAAAATTTTGGTGACAAACTTTGTTGCTATTCTGATGGACACGCCTTTATCTTCCAGTGAAATGACTCTGATTTGCTTTCCAAACTTCGGAGCTTACCCAATGCTTCTTTTGTGCTATACAGTTACTGAGACTGTATTTGACTCCCAGTACTTGGCTCGGAAGTTTTTTCGACCTTACTGGTTGGTTCTGAGCATAAGCACAGTCATTAATTTGTTCGCGACTAACCGTTTACACTTGAAGCAAAGCTGTGACTAAAGCACAACCATGAAGTGCCGTCTGGCGATTTATGTGAGCAATCTTCTTCTCGAAAGTTGAAAAACATCCTCGTTTTTGCATCCATCTGCGTTCTTGTCTAGGAATTACTTAAGCGATTAGTCTGTCTTCCTGGTTTCAAGCCTGTTTCTTCTCTGGACGCTATTGAATTTTGCTATCAAGTTCCCATCCTTTGATTACTGAGGTTGGCTGCGATGGGATACGCAACAGTAATGTTACGTAACCCATACTGTTAACAGGAACCTAAGTGGCTTTAGTGATGAGATTCCTATTAGCCAGGTTGCTTGCCTCACCTGATGGCCTTAAAGCAATTTCTTTTCAACCACCAGAAATTCGGAGCTGCATATTTATGTAGAATCGAGACTCACTGTCAAATATTACCACATCAGCACACAGTCGCCCAGAACACTCGGAGGTCTTCTATTAGCACCGAGCCAATTTTTTCCTAATTTGGACGCTATGCATGTATCCTCATGGCGAGGCTGCCACAATTCGTGGGCTAAACAAAATCTCAATTGATGCTGAGGTAACCTAGGTCCGTCGAACACAACTGATACTTCAATCACATTTTATCTGTGTGTGACCACGTCTGCAAGTATAGTGATACTACCATTAGACTCACATAAGTGTTCGGAGGTCGAAACGCGCTTGCGCAATGCATAGCTGTGCTATGCACCACCAAACGTTATGCTTTTGAGTTACAAGTGGTTTCGCTCTTTCTATTCATTGTTCAAAATGTCACCCACGTGCTCGGGCTCTTCTGTATACCGCCTCTTGTTTCTATCACAGGCCCGGAATGCTATCCTGGTTATGATCCATGCTCGACGTTTCCTTGTGAACACGGAGGGCTATGCTACCCGACGGGTCAATACGAGCAAAGTTTCAGGTGCGTCTGTCCGGAAGCATGGACTGGACACCGATGCACAGAACGTCGACAAGCTTGTATAGAGGCTGCCAAAAAGCTGCACAATGTGACATTCCCCACAGAAGAAAGTGAACAAGTTGCAATTTTAGCCGAACTTTGTCTCAATGGCGGCAAGTGTCTGGACTATTCTGATCGATTTGATTATCGATGTGTGTGTGCCGAGGGGTGGACAGGTGACCGATGTCAGTCAAAGGAGAAAATGCACGTAAGTCGTGTTTCCTCATCTCGTCTATTCCTTAACTCAAGCTAACGGTATAAGATATTTATCACATTTTAAGCCTCATTGCTAATTCTATATTAAGGAAACGATTTACTAGTACAATTAACAAGGGTTTATCCCGGGTTGAAAAGCAAGTAGCTGACAAATCCTGCGAGATGGTTGGCTTGAACACTATAAAATCAAAACATATTTGAGTCATCTACTGAGCCTCTACCGAGTTACATGCATTGATAAACTACGTTAGTGTGAAATAAAAATCAAATGCAAACATACCGAAAACACGGGGTACAGTGATCTTTGACGTAAAGAATGAAAACAATAAAGTATGGTCCCTTACTCATGCACCGCTTCCGTGACACCTAAATCCGGTATGAAGGTATGATTAAGGTAATCCACAATAGCGTAGTCTGCGTAATGAAGTACTGGGATATAAGAACAACATTTAGTCGTTTTTCTGAAAATGTCCAAAGTAGGGGAGTATACAACCGAGTTTGGTAGTAAGCTCTAGGGTTAGCAAACCCGAAGCGAAAACTACTTCTGTCAACATTCTAGACGTCTCTGTGGTTCACTCAGCTTCAGACAGTTACCACCTAGCTTGGCGTCGTGGCGAAGTTTCAGCAAATGGCAACATACGTGGTTGAGGTCAATCCATGTTTGGTACACTAATATGGTGTCGCTACGCAGCCTACGGTAGCTTCTGCCGAAAACTCCCAGTAACTCCAATCTTCTTTGTTGCCTTACGTTGTGGCGCCTCTACCATCTTTAGGTCGCGCTTCGTTTAAGGTGATCAAGTTCTGATGGCGTATCCGACGTGAGTGCGCACGCAGGAATGGTGCATCATTAGGATAATTGCTGGGTTAAATCACCCGATTGCCCTTCGCAACAGGCCGACTAGCTGGTTACTCCTTTTTCGCTGCTGCCTCAGACTGTTTTGAATAGCTTAGGGCAATCTATACAAGCAAAGGTAGGTCGCGTTTCTGGGAGCTGGTCTGCAATCTGTGTGCTTCGAACCAATATGTGTAGCCATGTCTATGGTCTAATTAAATAACGCGACATTTGTCTGTATTGAATGGTAAGGCATTGTAACTGACCACACTGGAGCCGTTCGTGGTCATCCGGTCCTTCGAATGCTCGCTATATCTTGATATCATCCGTGAAAAAGAGGAAAGCAGAAGTAATTGATCTCGCCAAATCCTTAATGAACATAAAGAATAGATGAGGCCATACCACAAGTTATTGGGGTACGCCGCACTCCGTATTAATTGCATCGGACAGCGATTCCCGGACTCTCACTTGCAACCCATGTTCGTGTATAAAATGCTTTATCCAACCCAGAACTGAGTCGTAAATGCTGTAGCTTCGAAACTTATGAGGAAGAATTCGATCGTCTAAGGCAAGGGTCTCCAAACTATTCACATGGATGGCCAGATGAGTGGGGAAAAAAGACTGGCCAGGGGCCGGATAACCGGAAAAAGTAGCTGACGCAGGCCGGATAACAGACGAAATTCTAGCGTGGGCCGCATAGTCATTAGGCGCAATGGTTGAGAGCCAGAACGTGAACTCAAAGCAAATAGACAAAAGCATAACACTGTATGTGTCCTTTTCCTTTTTTAGTAGTCCTTGAGAAGGCCGAAATATGGAGGAGCGGAACAATGAAAAGTTATAGATTTACAAACATCATGCTAGTCCTATTGAAACACCCGAAGAGCAGAAGAGTAGTGGTCATTGGTAAAACTTCGGCGCACCACACGTATACGTCGGTACTATGTCATATAAGAATGCATGCAATATAGTAATATATAGTTCAATAGTTCAATAGTGTATGGTGGGATAAAAAGCAATAACTTTACAAGACCCACAGGATGGCAAATGGAAGAAAACAAAAGTTTCAGGTGTGACACAAAAATATCGGTAAGTTAGACACTGCAGTTTGTCATACCGTTATATAATGTGTATCATGTAAGTGCAAGTCCAATAGTCTTTCGAATGTCTCGATGTTTGGTGCGTTCACCACATGCGATGGTAGTGCGTTCCAGTGCGGACAGACACTAAGAGAGTAAAAAATCTTTCTACAATCTAAACGGGAATATTGAGTCACAAGTTTTAGTGCATGGCCTCGGCATCGTTTGTCGGCAGATAATGTTAACAGCGACTTACATGGATGGTCCTCTTCTCTTAGTATCCGGTAAGTGAGGATCAGATCACCGCGAAGTCGTCGGTATTCTAAGGAGTACAGACCGATCGAACGAAGGCGCAGTTCATAACTAAGGCCCGATAGACCACGTGTTGCCTTAGTGGCTCTTCTTTGTGGTTGCTCCAGGAGACGAATGTCCCCTTTTAACCACGGACGCCATGCCTGCACCGCATACTCGAGGTGGGGACGAATGTAGGCGTTAATCAATAATGGCACGAGTTGCCGCTCGAAGGTACCGAGCGCTCGCCTCAAAAGCCTCAAGTTTAAGTTGGCTATGTTAGCTGCCTTTGAACATTGGAGCGAATTACCCAGACCTTCTTGCACGATGACCCCTAAGTCTCTTTCGTTGCTCACCTGTTTTATAACGCGCTGCCCCAGGTGATATGTGTTGCTGCAGTTACTGCGCAGCGACAACAGGTGACACTTTTCGGGGTTCAGGGGTAGTTGGTTGTTTACTGCCCATTCGTGAATCCGGTTCAGGTCATCCTGCAGATAGACAGGGTCAGATGTTGACTGAATAGCTCGCCACATCTTATCATCGTCGGCGAATATTTGCATAGGTGATTGGATGTTGGCAGGGAGGTCGTTGATATAGACTAAAAAGAGTAACGGGCCGAGAACTGATCCTTGCGGTACGCCGCTAGTGACGCATAGGCTATCGGAGTGGGTGTTGGCGATCCTTACCTCGATTCTTCTGTCGTATAAGTAACTTTCCAACCATGTGAGCAAGGATCCGTGGATACCATAGGCCGCAAGCTTTCGGAGAAGTGCTGGGTGATTGACGCTGTCGAATGCCTTAGAAAAGTCTAAGTAAAGCACATCTACGGGAACTCCCTCGTCAGCAGCCCTGGTCCATGAGTCCCGAGCAAGTAGTAGATTGGTGAGGCAAGATCGTCCGCGTCTGAATCCATGTTGGAGGTTGGAGATGATTTGTAGACTTTCAAAATATCTCACCATTTCATCAGCGATTATAGACTCCATCACTTTTGATAGAACAGGAAGGAGAGTAAAAGGTCGGTAGTTGGCAGGGTCTGACCGCTTACCTCCCTTGTATATCGGAGTGATAAGTCCACGTTTCCACTCAGACGGAAGTGTATGAGAATCAAATAGAAACTGGAAAAAGGTTGCAAGGTGGACTGCCATGGTGGGTGCAAGGGTTTTAAGTACTTTCGGACAGATCTTGTCAATTCCCGGCGCACTATTTTCCCTGAGCGACTGTAATTTCTTTGCCACAGATCTAGGGCTAAAGTTGACCGTGGATAAGCCGACGACATTTGCTGGGATGTAGCAAGGCGATGGTTCCATGGTGTGTCTAGTCACTGAGACAAACTGCATGAGTAATGCGTCCGCGGTCTCCTCTTCAGTAACCGTTAGGCCATTGACCGTCTCTAGTGGTGGTATTCCCGTCTTAACCTTCCTTTTGTCAGTCACATACCGGTAGAGCAGTTTGTGATTGCTAGTAAATTTGCGTACCATAGTTTCCTGCCATTCGTACTTGTCAGCTTTAAGGAGTGAGGTGCAGTAGTTTCTGACTGTTTTGTAATGATTCCACGTGATATCACTTGGACCTAGCAAATGATCCCTCCAAGCCTCGTCTCGCCTATTCAACCACTTACGTGTTCTACTCCGGATCCAGTAGTTGCTCGGTCGCGAAACTCGTAATGGTACGTCTTTTGAAGCTGATTGTAGGACCCAGTTTATCTTGCCTTTCAACACTTGCCAGGCATCATTCGCCGAAGTGTGCATCTGGAGGTCCCAGTCAACGGTTGACGCTATAGTGTGAAGCTTGGAATAGTTGGTGATGAATCGTCGGGTTTCTGGTTCTTTGTCAACCATACTGGCATAACACACATAATCAAACGTTAGAACTGAATGATCGCTACAACCTAGCGTGAGGTTGTATGAAACCGACTCAACCATTAACTCCTCATTAGTCAGGATTAAATCATTATTGAAGGCTTGTTTGAACCGCGGTGTCTGGTTGGTTGATCCACATGGTTATACAAAACTGCCATAGTCAAGAACTCAAGGAGTTTTGATTTGAAGCATGGCCCACTTGGGAACACAGATGCTATTGACGGTACATTGAAGTCACCCATTATTAGGTAGTGTGAGTACTTTTTCGACATAGCATATTGGAGAGCATTTAACAGAATATCATCGCTGTCGGCGGAGGAGTTCGGCGGCCTGTAGACAACTGCTATGAGGCAAGCATCATGTGTCTTCTTCTGAGGACAACCATCGGGACCGGATAGCTGCAGCCGGCAAAATAAGGCGTCGGGGATAATAAGGAAATGCTCAGTGAGAGCTTTACATTTCAGGTGATCTCGGTAGTAGATAGCAACGCCACCACCGAGAGATGGACGATCATTTCGAATGACTGACATTTCACTAAGTTCAATTTCTGGATCCAAAATCTCCTTTGAGAGCCAGGTTTCAGTTAATGCTATGATGTCCCAAGTTGGTACTTTATGCCGATGGCGCAATTCCGGCAAATTGGAGTAAAGCCCTTGGGCGTTTGTGTAGCAGCATTGCATTTGTTGCCGCATTAGGAGGTGGGTTCGCTGTGTTTGACCGGCACAAACAGTGCCGGTCTGCCCACGTATTTGACACGAGTGTTTGCACGCTTGGCTGGTCTATGGTCGGAAAAGCCAGGGCTGACTCAACTGTACCAGTGGTCTGTACTGCTTGCAGAAATGGTCTCAGTCGTACTTCTGGTGGTCCTAGCCTACTGCTGTGGTACCACACGTTAATTGCCATTGATGCCATCTCCGGCGTAGCCAAGGTAACT